CTGTGCGCGATGCAAAATGTAAAAAGGACTACTGGCGGTGAACAACGTTCCTTTTCAAAAACACGTGTTGGATGACAACATAGTTAGATGACAATGACTTTTACTACGTTCTCACCTGAATTTCTGGATCTCATTTTTAGGCCACCGATCTAGACTGCTACTTTCATCACTTTCTATACCTTTGACAGAGTTTTCGGCAAGAAATATCACCTCTAAACATCACCGGCGGTGATAAGATCCACTCTCCCTGTCCACCACACTGATGTCTATTCCGGGAGTGAGGGGTGGGGCTGAGTGTAGGGGTGAGGGTATGGGGTGAGGGTATGGGGTGAGGTGTAGGGATGAGGAGTATAAATTACAATCCACTCGAAACAAACTCATAGTACTCGATGCAGTGAGAACTTTAATTTTATTGACTGAATAGAAGTAAAGTAACTTAGTTATAAAAAATTGTGCATACTTTGGACGCAGAACATTCTAACTTTGCGATGGCTTTTACCAAGTTCTCACGTTGATTTCTGATCTCATTTTCAAGCCACTGATCTAAACATTTTCTCTCACCGCTGTCCATACCCATATCCCCGAACCCAAAACGCTGGTGTTCTCGGAATACGTGAATTAAACAAGAGACTGGGGCAAGTGATCAAGCGTACAATATGTCAGTTGTGGAATTCCATCCTACTTTCTCAAATCAGAACTGATTGCTCTCTTAATGAAACAGCTTCAGAAAGTTCGTCGGGATGGTACTTGAGGCAAGAGTGACGTCCGAGGAAAAGAGCGACCAATAAGAAATGAGTCAGTTGCTTTGCTGGTAAACAAAGTTTCGGTACACAGTCGCTGAACCGTGCTGTGATGTCTTAAAAGATAGAAGAAGGAACGAAGATTGTTTTTGTTGGTTCCGATTTTTTAGGAAACTGGGCACTAATGATCTCAAACATGGTGGATGGAACAGAAGAGAATAGATTTATTTTACACTATTTCAAGAGATTACAGCAAAGATTACTATAGATTACAAAAGTAAATATAAACAAGAAACAATAAATTACATAAATAATCAAAAATAAACTGTGCGCAGTGACCAAAGCAGCTTAAGCTTTCGAGTTGGTCACTGCCATTTGTAACTAACTGGCATACTTTACATTTATATAAAATTACAAGTAAGGAGTAGCGGACAAAGTAAAATTATAACGGCATACATTCTTATATACCAGTTCATGTGGTAACATTAACAGAATAATAATAGAATAAAAATGATTACTAATAGTGACGGCAGTAAGTTAAATAATACTCATTGGGTATTTAGAAGGTACTGTTTGTACTGCTCATAGAAATTATTGTAAGAGAGAGATTTTAATTTAGAGGGAATTTTTTTCCAAAACATTAGATCCAGCAAAGGCAAAAGTAGCAGCTCCATAATGGAACGCTTTATCAATAAGGATTTGGGTGTACAAGTCATTCTTATGATGCGTATGGCTGAGACTAGTAGTAAGAGGTCTATTACATAGTTCTTGACTAGGTTTTTTTGGCTTAGATGCATGTATAATTGCACTTGAAAATAATATAACATGTCGAAAACATCGTGAAAACATTTGGCAAAAGCTGATCGCATAATGGAAGTTTCTCATGTCTTTAGGGACTTGGCTTTCCCCACTTCTTTCAAACTCGTGTTTTTACAAGCATCTTGAGATACATAAAAAAATATACGCGCGTTTGATTGACTGAAAACGAATGCATTTTTTATGTAACACGAGTATAAAGTTGTAACCGGAATGCATAGATGTAACAAGAGTACAAGTCACAAATAGCGCGCGCGCTTTCAAAATTTCGCCTGTCTTAAGTTTCTATGATGCTTTTTCATGCGAACCATTAATAACTTTCAACGTGATTTCTCATGCAATTTCGTTTGAATAAGTTGTGCTGCACTGACACCACATCGCACTTTAAATCATCTCCTTACCTATATTTGGCTACCCGAGCGTGCAAGATGGGCCGCGTACTGCCCGCTTTGATCCCGCGCGCCGCTTTTTGCGACTTCGTCGTCGACATTGTCCAACGGTTTCAAACTTTCTTAATCTGCTCCAACCTTTTTTCTCTGACTTGTTTCGAACCAAAAAAAAATTGTTTGCAGACTTCAGAAAATTATCATCCAAAGTTATTTAACGCCCTTGAGATTGCAGAAGACAGTCAAGACAAAGAAAACATTTAACGAGCCTCTTGGGTACAAACACAGTTGGTTTTCTTTCCCGGCTCTCGAAATAAACAAGTCAATCTGGATTCGTATACAAGCGCATTCTTTTTGCCATGAAGTAAATCCTAAGTAAACTAAGCTTGCTCGGTGAAGATGGCTGGATATTGGCCTCGTTCTTTTTCGACTTCGTCTCGGTCCATAACAACGCATAAAAAGAACTGGGCCAATATCCAGCCATCTTGACCTCACGCTTCGTCAATACAAAAGGCGCATATTTCCTCAAAGGGTGTTTGGGTGTTGTCAGGAAATTGTGTGAAAAATGGGAAAAAAAGTAGCCTGAGGGATTAAACATAAGAACATGGCATGTGAAAAACAAACTGCTAAGAATAGATCTGAACATTTCATCAAATACATCTTACGACTGCTGAATTTTCCTCGTCAACCTATGTTGCAAAAGGTAATTATTTCAGTCGTCGGGTATTGGTGACTGATAAGTCTCAAACATCAGCTAAAAGGCAAGTGTATTCAAATGCACTACACGCATGCATGCACCTCCGTAATCTTTTAGCTCCACAGAATTTACAATAACTGCCTGCGTCTCATTAGCATATAAAACCGAGTTCTACGAATTCACTTTATTGTTTCAAATTGAGACCTTGTGCGATTTTATCTAATCGAAAACAGCGAAAATACAGACGCTACCAATGGATACAAATCTAGAGAAACTATTTGCGCCAAAAACATTTAACAGATTCAGCCACTTCATAGTTTTTGGTTGGATCGTGATTTGTGCAATCTTTGTTGGTGTTTTCACAGACACGGAATTAAACGAATCTCGGTCGGATTTCAGCTGTGGTGGGGCGAGGACTGTTCAAGACATCGACCTAGTCCGTGGACAGTGTTTTGAGCTGTACATGAAGCAAAACAACAAACACGGTCTTCCTATCTATGGCTTTGTAATACTTAACTTCTTCCTCATTGCAAGTGTTTGTGCTATTTACTCCCTAATAGTGAGCTCTACAGTCAGTAAACTGTCTACAAGCGCTTGTAATGGTGACGAGGAACAATCGTGCGGCCGAGAAAACGCATTATCTGGTGGAAAAAAGTTGTTTATAGCTTACTCTGGTCAACTTTTCACGAGGATTGTGTTTGGCGTTCTCTTCATGGTCCTACAAACTCAATTTCTGTATCCCACGGACTTTCCCTCTCGCTTTCGTTGTGATCCAAACTCTGCAGGAGATCAGCCAAGGAATTCTACTGGCGTCATGCAAAACTCCACACCAATTTTACACGATTGTCATAATCAACGAGCAACTAAAAAAAACTCCTGGATGAAGGCT